AGTGATACTAGTACAGAGTTTTTTATATTTTTTTATTTTTTTTAAAGTCCTTTTATAATAAATACCAGAAGACGATTTAGCATGCATTCCGGCGACGTCTACAGTTATACAAACTGGGGTATTAGGTGTAAAACAACGTGTGGCCTTCGTTGTCTTTGTAAATGTCTTTTGTTACCTAAATATAGGTTTCTGTGTTGACAGTGCTTACGTGCGGAAAGAAGTAACGCTTTCTTTTTGCTACGAAGAATAATTTTTTTATGAGTAATATTCGTTGATGGTAATTGAAATTTGATGAGTTTGTTTTTGTGTAGTTCCAACTACCGGAGCCCGTATATAGGTTAACATCTCAGTCTGCCTATAGTCGCATGAAGCTAAGCTCTCAATTCAACAAGGAAAACCGTATTGTTATGTGCAAAACAGAAAGCGTCATCGCTTTGTGTCAGAGCATTGACTAAAAACTTTTTATTTGAGTTAAATAACAATTTGACGACTATGTTTATTAATTATTATTAATGAGTCAGGCTTTTCTGTTGATAACAGCATACGAACGCTTATTCGCTAATAGCGACTCGCGCGCCATCTAGCGTCCGTTCAAGCGAAAACAACAACAAAGTTTCAACGATCACGTAGGTAAACCACAAGCGTCGCACGAACAAGCAATGTACTAATAGAAATAATGTCATAAAAAGTCGACTAATTTCCTGATAAATGTAATTTTTTTTTTGTAGACGGGTTAACGATCTCTCGATCTATCTGATGTTAAGTATCTATCGAAACTGCTAGAAATCACAAAGTGAATACCACCACCACCACCTTGAGAGTTTAGGCCTCATTTTTTTTTATTGCCTACATGGGTGGACGAGCTCACAGCCCACCTGGTGTTAAGTGGTTACTGGAGACCATAGACATCCACAACGTAAATGCGCCACCCACCTTGAGATATAAATTCTAAGGTCTAAAGTATAGTTACAACGGCGGCCCCACCCTTCAAACCGAAATGCATTACTGCTTCACGGCAGAAATAAGAGGGGTGGTGGTACCTACCCGCGCGGACTCACAAGAGGTCCTACCAACAGTATTTCTATAGTAATTACGGAAATTTTTGCGGGCATGATTTTTCCATCTATTCCATCGCCCGTTTTCCATTCGATTCCATCGTGTTAGCTCGTGAACACCAGTACGCGTTTGATATTAAGTACGTATTTGATTAGAAAACTCCCTAGTAGTCTCTGGCATTGTAAAATCGTTGGACACGCGTACACCGGACGTCTTATTATTTAGACAACGACGTCTTCCCTGCAAGGGGTGAATTTAGAAAGCTTGCTCTGTCCACTTTTCGCTTATGCAAATAATTATAAAGACAGTGCGCTCTAGCGTATGTATATATTACTATTACAATCCGTAAACGATCATTAGATAACATGGTGTCAGTGCCTACTACATCGCGTGTTGCAGAATGATTTCCATCACGTCTTTACCTCGCTTTCTAAGGAGTTAACCGCTTTGTAAATTTTAAATTGTCTGTCAGTTGTAAAGCAAAGCACGCGTCGTATTACGTAACGTTTATCGCTCTACCTCTGTACACTTCCTAATGGGTTTCTGAATTAGGTTAAGATTATATTTTATGTGGTTTTCATATTATTTGTTTTTTTTTTATATGTTTTAGAATGATTTATTTTTAGTATTACTTTTCAATAAGGGAAGTCCCCGCCTAGGTTTTTCCCGGGCGCTACGATGTCTTCATTCAAACTAGCCTTAAAGAATAGCATTACTTGTTGTCAATTGGTAACGTTGAGCGTTTTTATTCTGGTGGCCTGAAGTCTTTCCTCATCGACATGCTAAAGCAAAAAAACTGGGCTTTATTTTCTGTTCGATACTAAAGTATTTGATAGGGGAATAGAGTTCAGGAACCATATATCGTTAAGCGGCTATCGGCGTGCTTGAGAACGTAAACACCGCTGCCCAGAAGTTGAAGGTTTAGTTAGATTGGGTTAAACAACTATATCTTCAAACCAAAACGCAGAATTCCAATCCGTCAGAAATATGACGGAGGGGAGGCGGGAGATATGCGTCAGCTTGCAATATGCCGTGCTAACAAGATTAGGGAAAGAGGAACAAATAATAAAAAGTAAAACGGTACCTATTTAGATTACCATTATTTTATTGCCATCGTAGTTAGCCGACCGTACCGACCGACCTGAAGGTGAGTGGTTATTGTCCCTCATGGACGCTAACAATGCCAGAGGCACAACCAAACCGCTCCCTCCCGCTGAGTAGTCTACGCAAGCCTCGTTTGAAGGAGAACACAATTTTTACTGGTGGTAGGAGCTCTTGTGAGTCCGCACGGGTAGGTACCACCACCCTGCCTATTGCTGCCGTGAAGCAGTAACGCGTTTCGGTTAGAAGGGTGGGGCAGCCTTTGTAACTATACTTGAGACCTTAGAACTTATGTCTCAAGGTGGGTGGCGCATTTACGTTGTGGATGTCTATTGGCTCCAGTAACCACTTTACACCAGGTGGGCTGTGAGCTCGTCCACCCATCTAAGCAATAAAAAAAAATAAAAAATCTTGGAGCTCAGGAAACACCGTGGAGAGAGGTTCATTCCAGAGTGGGATCTGTGGATCAACGCAATGGTTCTAGTTAGTATAGAACTTTGCTCCGGTGGCGGGCGGTACGATGGTAAAAATGATGGGACCATCTCAAATAACTTCTAAGAGCACTCCCAATGGAAGATACGGATTAATACTCGAAACTCCGTAGACATGGAGGTCCCAAATTATAAAACTATTTATTGAATAATGAATTCATATACCTAAATATAAAAGTGAAAACTAATCACAATTTGATGAGTTGAGGTCATGAACAATCGACTTTATGATTCTAATATATATATTTTTTCTTTTTATCGATACACAAAACAAATTACAACCATAGAAATTATAAGCTTAAATGTTTAACATAATAATCTGGATCGCAATTCAAAACAGGTGCATACAGAAAAAAATTAAAAATTTAATTACTGAACAGATACCTAAATACCATGTACACACACACATACACACACACACACACACACGCGCGCGCAACCGCACACACACGCAACCGCACACACACGCAACCGCACACACGCACACACACGTACACACACACACACACGTACACACACACACACACACACACACACACAACCGCACGCACATGTGGAGAAATAAAGTATGGTTTTTCACATGTGAAGAAATCAGTTAACAAGTTTCAAGTTCTAATTGCTTGTACCAAAACTACGGCGGGGGTCATAAATTCGAAACGTGAAAATTTTTCACTCAACTGCACTATTAGTCATAAAATTATTAGTCATTCTGCAAATTGTACTAATAATTTATCATCATTTCCGTTAGATGGTTGCAATGGAGTTGCAATTATAAATTCGAAATGAATACTATTAATCACTAACCAAAAAGTGCTAGAAAACGGTCATGTGGAGCCACAAAATCGAATTAGTTGAATACGTCCGCCCATCACGCATTGGGTCACTCGTTGCCTAGGCCCGTACTATGGCCTCAACACGCTAATATGTATAGTTGAAAATAGCTCACCGCTCAGAGCCGCACTAAGCGACCGCCTCAGTCAATGCACTGTGTATTCAAACTGAGGCTTTCTATGTTTGACACTTCCTACCTACCACACCCTTTGCCCTAGGCCAGCTCTGTGGACTCTCACTTGGACTTGCATTCATGACGCAGCCAAGTTAGTAGCGTTGTTAAAATTTAAAACGAACTCCAATTTGTGCTGGAAGAACCTAGTTGGATACGCCCACTCATCACGCATTGGGTTACTCGTTGCCTAGGCCCGTACTGTGGCCTCATCGCGCGACCACGTATGTTTTTTTTTATTCCTAAGATGAGTAGACGAGCTCACAGCCCACCTGGTGTTAAGTGGTTACTGGAGCCCATAGACATCTACAACGTAAATGCGCCACCCACCTTGGGATATAAGTTCTAAGGTCTCAAATATAGTTACAACGGCTGCCCCACCCTTCAAACCGAAACGCATGATGAAATGATTGAAAATAGCTCACGCTAATTCGCTCGGAGCCGCACTAAGCGACCGCCTCAGTCAATGCACTGTGTACACAAACTAAGGTTTCATATGTTAGACTGTTAGACACTTCGCGCCCACTACCGCCACTGCCTTAGGCCGACTCTATGCACTCCGACTTGGAATCGCATTCATAACACAACCAAATTACTAGCGTTGATAAAATTTAGAATGAGCTCCAATTTTTGCTGGAATAATCTAGTCGGATACACCCGCCCATCACGAGTGACCCAATACTCGTTGCCTAGGCCCGTACCGTGGCCTCAACGCGCTACTATGTATAGTTGAAAATAGCTCGCGCTAATTCGAAGGAGTTCTCAGTTGTGCTAGAGGACATTGCTGCGCGGACCTGAATGCTAGTTTTGCGGAAGAAATAAGTAGGACACGAACTACATCCACTACTCGTCTGCTATCTTAATAAAAATTAAACTTTCGCTAACAAACGCCTCGTACGGGTCCAACGACGAACCCGGTTCTATTACCATTAAATTATTATTTCAAACGCTCATAACATGATGTAACTCAATATTAATTGCCCATGTGATTTCCGATAATCGATAAAGTAATTGCGCAATATAAAAATCGATACTTTTTTTTCGGTCGTAATGACATAACTGGTATTTGTTACACTTCGTGCATATCGGTATTTTGGTGGAATTTATGTTCAACCTGTTCTTTGCTCCTAGATATAAATATATACGCAATAGTTAATGATGAAAATGCTTATAAATATAAACAATAATATATTTAATATATAGAACTGGTGGTAGAGATAACATATTGTGATATTTAACGAGTATTTTTGATGACACTCAAGCTGAAACAGATGATTTGAATTTCTTACAAATTATTAATAATATAATTATTATTGGAAATACTATATTATCTTATTTGTCTGTTGCAGATGGCGTAGATAAGCATACACAGGCCTCTAACATCGAGGCTCTTAAAACTAATGGAAGCTGTACGTACAAAAGAACTTATAATAATCAGTGACGACGCAAAACAACACGGCACGGTCAAGGCATTGTTGAGAAACTTCAGAGTGACCGAAAAAGAAATGGCTATCAAAGAGAACCAAAACGATACTAACAAATGTGTTTACTCGGTACCCATAACGCCAGCGATACAAACAGCTAGAACGAAATCAATTAGCGAAGCGAAGAAAGCCTTCCTGAATGCAACAGTTAGTCCTAATGCCCCTCCCACCAAACCGGACAAAAGGATCGAACCAACAGTACATTATGCACAACTAGATATTATAACGAAAAGCGAAGACACGAGAAGCACTGGCGGAGGACATGACTTAAAAACATCAAGTGATGTTAAGAGCAAAGAAACGCCAAACGAAGCGACCCACGCTGGGAGTCATGTTAAGAGAAAAATAGATCCGAATCAAAGAAAAGTCAGCTTTAAAATTAAAACTGCCGGAACATTCCACAGGAGGCCGCCTATCGCTGCGAAAACTGTCACCGTGGCGACCAGCAATGTTTCAGAGCTCACACATAAATTTAATCTATTAAATCAACCGCACAGTTCCCCTAAGCATTCAAAACTCGCCAAAACAATAGAAGGCCTACAAACAGCGCGGCGTTCACTCAGTAATAGCTCTACGCCGTCATCAACGCTCAGTTCCAGCCCTAACATCAAAATAGTGGTTCGTCAGAAGCGGGGTTCTAAAAAGAGAAATCACAGAAAAAGATGTTCTAGCATGGACTCTATAGACAAATTGATAATCACGGATAAAGAATCTACGAAAATCCAAGTCATACGCTCCAAATCTGACGGAATCAAAGCACCGAAGTACCAAAGCTCGAAAAAGAAATTAAAATACTACGATTCGAACGAACATCAAAACGGGTCTGATTCAGTCGACGGTCTTGCCGCTAAATCTGTAATTAATGAACCAGAGAAAGATATAAAAGCAACAGGAAATAATGTCAAAAGTGTTATCAAGAAATTTGAATGTGAAATAAATGCTCAAACAATTAATACAAATACGATTAAGAAGCAACCTGATCCAACAAAAAGTATAGTACCATTAAAAGAGAAACCCAAAGTACCTGAGAAAAAATCGTCGATAGTGTTAACAAAGAACATTGTCGTTAAAGACGGCATTCCAAAGATTAAGACGATTAGACCGATTTCGAATTCTAATGAAACTCCAAGAAAGACACAGGCGGCAAATCCTGATTCAACTTTGGTCCCAAAAAAGAAGGAACTAATATACGATAGAAAAAAATACAAAACAAATTACATACACACGGAAAAGCTTCCATTGAAGCTGGTGGAAATAATTCCCGAGGACATTGAAAATACTTCTAGCTTAGTTAAAGACCAAATAATTACAAATATATCAAATGAAACTTCGATAAATATCACTCGTGTATCGGTCACAACGGATTCGAAGGCACAAGACGTAGAACCACCGATAATTCCCAATGAATCTTTTTTATGGCGTAGGAAAAGCAGCACCCAAATTTACGCAGAATCTGATTTATCATCGTCTGCTGATATATCATCATGCAGTTTAATAACTATCACTACAAATGATAATTCCATATCTTGTGACGAAGCCGCAGAAGAACAGTCGCAAACCATTGAAGTGAAAGAATCTCAGATGAATGTGAACGCTTGTGAGAAGAATATGGATTTTGAAAGCGATTTAGTTGAAGCATACAACAAGGAAATTTTAGTTGGGTATACCCCTAAACCTCAGAAGGAGCCAGTCATAGAAGACGATTATGAGGTATTAGAACCGAGGGAATCTGAAAACATCGTTGTAATTCCAGTCAAACAGGTCGATATGACATCTAAAATGAACTGCCCCTTGCCTGAAATACCAAAACAAACTAGTACTGAGTCATCCGAATCTGACGATAAAGAAAACATATATCAGTGTCTATTAGAGATGAGGTCACACCCTGAAGGCGACGAGAGCAGTCTCCATAATTATGAACTATGCGAAAACGAATTAGAAGAACGAACGCGAGGAGACGGAGATAGCGATGATGGATACGAATACTGCAAATCGCCTATAAAACCTTACTGCCTAACGTCCAGCTCAGGAATACAAATAGCCGAAGACTACAAACCCTACAATAAAGATAACAACAAAAACTATGCTATATCGAAGTCCGTAAGCGGCACTTCCACCGTCAGCTACGAAAAGATCGGATGCGATCGAATATACGAGAAGATCCCGCCGCGACCTCCGAAATCCAAAGACAGCAGTCCGACTTACAGCGACAGGCACTCCTTCATATCGGACTATATCGAAAGCGAAAATATATACGATACAATAAAGCATGGCGATGGATCTTTATCGCACTGCTACGAGAGCATACCAAACAGTCCGAGCATGGTGAAGTTGCGGAATAACTTGAAGAAGCAACTGGCGTCCGCTGTTCAGAAGCGATTGTCCTTCGATACTGTCTCCAACATTAGCCAGTCAACTTTGTCGAGCGAACAGAAAACGAATAGCATATACGGCCAGAGATCAGTGATAAGCTTTAATGGACAAGAAGTGGCTTTTCAAGTGCCGTGCAGCGAGACCAGTGTCAGTGATAGAAGCGATCGTAGCGACGATTGGGTTGATGTTTCTGATGAGGAGAAAAATGAACAGAAAATTGTCATGTAAGTATTGAATTCAATATTGTATGATTGATTAGTTTGATAAGGATTAAGATCTTAATAAACCTTAAAGTGATTTCGGCGTTCCGGTTTGAATGTTGAAACAAACCGTCTACATAGAATTGAGACTGGTCTCGTGTCTCAAGTTGGGTGGCGACATTCGCGTTATGATGTCCACGGGCTCCGGTCAGTAAAATAACGAAAACAATAATTTTAACCTTTAATTTTTTATGTCAATTAACATGGCAGGAAAACGGCATGTATCGTCCTAACACCCTCCGTGATAAACAGAAACCAGATTAGTTTTATCTGTGACCTAAAATAGACCCGTGCGGGCATCAATATTCCCATACAAAAGAGCAAACATTCTTATCATTCACATGTAATACACAGTTTATTAATTCAGTAATGTAAACACATCGAATGAATTCACACATGCTCTTTGTAATTAACGGTGATTTAACGGTCTAAATGAAATGGAAGTTTTGTTTTGTAGTGTACGAGAAAGGAGCAGAGGCAGAAAGAGCCCAATCAGCTGGTCGCAGAAAGTAAGGCATCAATGGCTGAATTCTCCAAAGAAAAGTGATAGCAAAGGTAGGTCGCGAGTTGTGATCAAAATGGAAATAATTGTTAACAGCGCCATCTCTCGAACGATATTGGAACATATCGTATTTACCAATATATCTGCTTTAATCCGACCAAAGATGGCTTTGTTACAATAATAGTTTTTTTTTTTAAACATAATTTATTGCGGAAATCATTTATGTGTATTTAACAAATTATAAATTCTTTGTGAAGATTAAAAAGCCTTTGTAAATTACTAGTTATCGATTTAAAAGATAAGAGTCGAGTGAGGTATAATGTCGAGTGGTAAAGATCTTAGAAGTGGTTTCTATAAATGAATCATCATCTTATCATTAAAATTTAAAGTAACATAAATTACTTATATAAACAAGGCAAATCATGTCGCAAGTTCACGAACTCGCCGCACCTACCAGTGGGCGGCGGTTAATGGGTTGCCGGATTCCAAAGTGCACAGCCGCCGGCGCCTGTCGCGATCTGTCCGCCTTGTTTACATCACTTATTACGCCCGTCTTACGAAAAGATATATACAAAACTAGCCGTACTCGCGCGCTTCGCTGGACGTTTAAAATTAACATTATTATTTATTGTCATTATTATTAGGGAGTTCAACACTCACATAAATATTAGCCTATCCATTATTACATGTATTTTTTACACGGATACCAAGTTTCAAGTCAATCGGATGCATGGTTCAGTAGTTATAACGGAACATCCGTAAAAACCACGGAACATCCGTCAAAACCACTGTAGATATATTATATTAGTATAGAATATACGGAGAAGAGTTCATCCATACTACCTAGAGCCACTGCGGTCAGGTCATCCACAGTGCGTTTCCAGAGGTATTTTTTGCCACGTACTTTGGGGAAGGCTTGACGACAAAGGGAAGATCTTCCACCGAGCGGGTGATACTGCTCGGTAGACCGACGGTCCGAATGTTGTTGTTCAGAACTTGTATATATGCGCTTTATCTTGTAAATGTCGTAAGCGAGATTCAGGCATCTGTCAATTATCTTGCGTTGTATGATAGCTACCCGCCACAGTACCATCCGGCTATGGAACGAGCTCCCCTCCACGGTGTTTCCCGAGCGCTATGACATGTCCTTCTTCAAACGAGGCTTGTGAAGAGTATTAGAAGGTAGGCAGCGGCTTGGCTCTGCCCCTGGCATTGCTGAAATCCTTGGGCGACGGTAGCCATTCATCATCACGTGGCCGTTTGCTAATCTGCCTACAAGGGTAATAAAAAAAAACTACATTTTCCAATTAAAATATGTATCTTAGAAATCTGACAGCTACATATATCTGAATACTATTAACCATATTTAACAATACACAAATTTGACAACAAGGATTAAGATACATTGTTTGGTTATTTGACGTGGGGACGCATGAACTAGTTCACTACCTGTGTGCTTGTTGCGAGTTTTTTAACGTTCTCGATCGCGTAAAAGTTAACTCAAATTTGTATTCAGTTAGAACAGCGTCCCTAGCGGCAAACGTAGGCAAACGTTCCAATTACTACAAATTTTAGTTAACTTTTTCGATATCGAGAACGATAAAAATCTCGGACTAAGCACACTGATGTTCATTAGTTACCGGAATCTATAAACAATACTAAGCCGTCGCCCACCGTGAGGTCGCAGATCCAATTGCATTATATAAGGGCTGTCCCACCCGTCAAGGTAGAAACGAATGATTTTACAGCAGAAATAAACAAAATGGTCGCATGTTCCCGCACGGACTCCCAATACGCCAATGCAGTGCCTTAAGCTTATCTTACCGTTGTCAATAGGAACGTGACACTAAAATTAGGGTTTCCACTTGTCTATCGGGCAACGATAATATACACGAGACAAGAAAAAGTACCTCATTCAGGACGTTCAGGAATAGAGATTGATCAACGCGGCGATCAAAATACCGGAACCATATAATGCGTTTTTTTTTTTATTGCTTAGTTTCTTGGACGAGCACAGGGCCCACCTGATGTTAAGTGGTTACCGGAGCCCATGGACATCGACAACGTAAATGCCGCCTTCCTTGAAATATGAGTTCTTAAGTCTTCGTTTTTACAGTAAAACGGCTGCCCCACCCTTCAAACCGAAACGCATTAGTGCTTTTATTTTTTATTTATTGCTTAGATGTGTGGACGAGCTCACAGCCCACCTGGTGTTAAGTGGTTACTGGAGCCCATAGACATCTAAAACGTAAATGCCGCCACCTACCTTGTGATATGAATTCTTTGGTCTCAGTTTTTACAGTACAGCGGCTGCCCCACCCTTCAAACCGAAACGCATTAGTGCTTCACGGCAGAAATAAGTGTGGGTAGTGATACCTACCCGTGCGGACTCACAAGACGTTCTACCAACAGAGATTTAGGCATGCAATCCCAAAACACACGACGCGACAACCCTAAAATAAAAGTACACTCTATTGATTTTTCCTCGAGTAACGGGGTTAGGCGAACGATCGATACTATTACTGCCCTAGTTCTTTCTTATCGATCTAGTGAAGTTCTCAGATAAGTGACAACGCTTTTAGGACTGTGAATTTTATTTGAATGCTCTAGGTAGTTCACTAACTTCAAGGTATTCTAGGTAAGTAGGTCTTCAAGGTCTGTTATATGGTTTCCGGAGCCCACGGACATCGCCTACTTTGAGGCATGAGGTCGTATTCTTGATTCTATTGTGCAGCGGTCTAGAAACCGGAACGCATGGTTACTTCGCGACTAAAATGACAAGGATGATGGTAATTACGTTAAATAGTATATTTTGTGGGTCTATAATATTTTTTTTACACGAATTATTCAGAATTGTTAAGTACCAACTTTCAAAGATACTATTTAAAATGTAATAAGTACTATTTAAAAAAAAAAGGTGCTTTCCTTCCGCAAAATTCGAACACCGATACAGTCGCTCCGCTTGATCCGGGCGTCTTATCCTGTGGGCCACGACAACATGAAATTGTCTATTGCGTAATGTACGTCATGAATTAGATTCAAGCTACTTAATAGTAAATTTACTGGTGGTAGGACCTTTTGTGAGTCCGCACGGGTAGGTACCACCACTGCCTATTTCTGCCGTGAAGCAGTAATGCGTTTTGGTTTGAAGGGCGGGGCAGCCGTTGTAACTGAGACCTTTGAACATATAACTCAAGGTGGGTGGCGCATTTACGTTGTAGAGGTCTATATGCTGCAGTAACCACTTAACACCAGGTGGGCTGTGAGCTCATCCACCCATCTAAGCAATAAATAAAAATAAAAATTGAAAGCCGTTATACTGTATAAACTGAGACCTTAGAACTCTTGTCTCAAGGTGGGTGGCGGCATTTACGTTGTACGTACGTTACGTCAATTACGTTGTCTACGGACTCCGATAACCACTTAACACCAGATTGGCCGTGAGCTCGTCCACACTTGTAACTAATAAAGTTATAACGAGTCATTAAACACGAATCGTTCGTCTGTTGTGACTTCAGGACAAAGCGTTTGCCACCAAACACGCAATGTACTTCAAAAAACGATTTTAATTGAGGAAATGCAATTATATTTATTCGCACATTTAGATCTTTTCGATTGCAACTGTATTGCGTGAGTGAAATTATAGTATTTTCTTGATTACAAATGCAAAAACACGTTCAAATAAATACAACTTTAGAATGCTCGGAAATTGCAATGAAAACAATACGCTTATTTTCATTTATATCTTTCGATTTATTCAATCGATCTCTTAGACTAGCTAGTTCAGGCGAGCCGTCAAGTGTGGTAAGCGAATTTCAGTTCTGAGTCAAAGCCGATTCGGTATTAATCAGCGTATTAAAGTAAAACAAAGCTATTAGCATATTAAGCATTATTGTTTACGAATTGTTTTAAACTTTCGCTGTATCTACGTTATGCACAACTGTTTAATGAAAATTGAAATGACTTGACGTTCGCCGAGCCCGCTTTGAATAAACGCAATTCCATTCGGTGTTGCCGGCTCTTAAATAAAATTATAATACCATTTAGTCTATACTTCTATACAAATATTATAAAGAGGAAAGATTTGTTTGTTTGTTTGTATTGAATAGGCTCCGAAACTACTGAACCGATTTGAAAAATTCTTTCACTGTTTGGAAGCTACACTATTCCCGAGTGGCATAGGCTAATAATCTTTTTTGAATAAAATTAGGAACCCTTACTAAAATTCCAATAATGTAACCCACCGTGTAAAAAAAATTTCCTAAAATATTCTTTACATCGCGTGCCCTGCGAAAACTATTGATGTTAGAATAAAATAATGTACTAAGACTTTATAGAACACATTATTATTTATAAAAGTGTCGGAACAGCATATTTCTAACTATTATAGGTATGCTGCAATAAGTGTTCTTTTATTTTAAAAAATAAAACAATGTCAAATATCGTTGAAATTTTTGTTGAACACACGAGCGGAGCCGGAGCGGGCCGCCATTGTAAATAAACAGATGAATCTTTATCAAAATAGTAGAATAATTTATCAACGATTATGTAAATAACAAAATAAGTTCAATATGTTGAAATTAACTCATTTTCAGTTTTGTTTTTATTGCTTAGATGGATGGACTAGCTCACGGCCATCTACACATCTACAACGTAAATGACGCCACACACCTTAAGATACGCGTCCTAAGGTCTCAGTTTTTATAGTACAACGGCTGCCTCACCCTTCAAACCGAAACGCATTACTGCTTCACGGCAGAAATAGGCAGGGCGGTGGTACCCACCCGTGCGGACTCGACGTCCTACAACCAGTAAATAAATTCAATGAATCTTCGTGTCACAAGACAATCTCACGACACGACATTAAGATTTTAATTATTTACGGCGCGTACCTTCTCACAATCTCGTGCATACAGCCTTGACCGCAAAATCGGACGATAAATAATTTTAAATAAAAAAAAAATTGGTTGTCTGTGAAGTCGGCTTAGGGACAATAATTTTACGTGATAACGTCAATAGCAGAACTATTCGAACTGCTAGACGTCACGTGAAA